TACCTCATCTCTCTATCTTCCATTCTACTGTCAACTCTACTGTCGTCCTACTGTCGTTGTCAAATATAGGATAAAATTGAAGTTAGCGAGAACGACAACTGTCGGCCTGCCGTTGTGTAGTCGTGCAGCTGTCAAAATAGGTCCGTCCATAAGAACGTGTGTATTTTAATATTTGACAGATATCGTTTGCAGTCTGTCTCGAGCATTGTATTCAGCACATTATTATGAGCAAAGTTAGCTATGATTTCGATATCCATTTTCAAAGCAGGATGATACGGGTTCTCTGGCCGAACCAAAGGATCACATCGGATAACGGAAAACATTGAAGCGTTATCAAAATAAACCAGATCTAAGAACTGGTTTGAAATTAAATTAATTTGGGTAAGACCCAATCCCGACATTTCAACTAAGAACTCGTTAAAACATAAGCGAGTACTAATAGGAATGGTGTGATCATCTATAGTTTTCCATGATAGCACGGTAAATTGAAATCCCCCAAAACAATCATGGAATCAGTATTGTTAGCCATTGAGAAAACATTACATAAACATATTAATGAAGCATGCTGCATATAAACAGATATATCCGAGAGAGGCGGTATATAAGACAAATTTAAGTAGATATGGCCACTATTAGCACAAATTCGAAAGCACTTAAATTCTATGAAGTCTGCATGCAGAACATCGACTTCTTAAGATGGAATTGATGACTTAACAGCAAACAAGACACCACCGTCTTTTCCACGGTAGAGGTGTACCATGGTCTTTTCTGCTCAGCCGATCATATCTATAGATTTCGAATTCACTGTTTTCATTATCAAAAATGTGAGTCTTTAGCCAAGTCTCTGTGAAAGCAATGATTTGGAAGTGACAATGAATGCTGTTTAAATACAAATCAGAAAGTTTTGTATTAAGACCTCTAATATTTTGATAATAAATAACTACATTTTTATCAATTCTTGTTCAGTTTCGAATATCGAGAGTATCGATATTTCGAAACCGATCACTGCTTGTATCCCTAGTGCCCAATTGAATTTCGAACAGTGATGCCATTTATAGCGTAAATATCGTGCAAAATCGTAATATTTTTTATTGGTTATATTGTAAAAAAACATAAAAATAGATAAGGTGCCACATATATTCATAAATTGGATTCTAATTTTAAGACATTTCCCGTGAAAATTGGTGCACGTTTTCGGAAAAGCCGCTCTCCTGAACATTTACCGAAAACACAATTCGAATTCACTTTCAAAGTATAATAAGCTATACTATCATTCTTGGTGTGAACACACTTTTATAGTCCAGTCATGATTTGTTGTAAAATTATCGGAAATCGATGTTGTAATTTAATCGAAGTAATGTAGAAGAATGTAAAGGCGAATATGTGTTTGCGTGTTCCTCAAAACTTTTGCTGTGAGTTATGAGTATTTTTACAAATTGCACCTAATATTAAGATTAACGCATGTAGGATGACCCTACTGACTTTTTGTGAATTAATGTTTGCTGCGAAATCTACAAAGTCTAAAGCAATACTCCAAAGTTTTCACAATGCCTAAAGTTGTTTCGCGTAGTATTGTGTGCTCTGATTCTAAAGATCAAGAAGAATATAATGAAGAAAAACCGTTAAACATATACTACTGCCTTTGTGGGAAACTGACATTAATCCTCGGTTAGTAAAATTAAATATGCCTTTCAAATTTCACATTTTTCTAATTTATACGCCAGATTGTACCATTGATATCCTACCACTGCGGCCTGCGGATGGAGCGCGTGTTATTGATGGTAAAAAGCATGCGCATAAACTAGCTTTTCAAGAAGGACATTCTCTATATATTAAACGGGAAAAAGGATACGAAGAGCAATTTCGCTTAAATGTACGTGGTAAATTTAAGAATAGCATCCCCCCGATTTCCGGGTTAACATGAGTATGTATGATATAGAGGGTCCTTCAGATTAAGTAAATACAAAAAATCCGGTGTATTAGGTATTAGTATGTACTAGGTAAAAGCTATGTTGGGCTCGTAGAGTAAAACAAACAAAAATTTGCAAACATTAGAATAAAATTAGGGGGTAGTGGGAAATATTTTGAACGAGTTGATACAATTTACTACCCTTAGGAATATGTGTGTTTTTTGAGTAAAATAAAATTTGGCTGCGATTTAGAATAGCATTCCCGGATTTTGGGGTTAAAATGTGTACGTACGGATATAGAAAGTCCTCCAGATCAAGAATACATACATATATGCCGCTGACTAATGGTTTTTGAGATATTTGCATTTAATGTTCAGAAAATCAACTATTTATGCGTGCTTCTCCGATTTATAATGCTTTTTACTTAAATTTTATACTTTTATATCCACTAACACTACACTAATTCGTTTCTAATTTTATATTCAATAGTGCAAAAATAACTTTAATTCCATATCAAACTTTAGTAAAGATACATTTATACATATAATAAGAAAGTGGTTGTAAACAAGCAAAGAATTGGTGTTACCATATTTTGTAATGGGGCACGATTCCGATTACTTTGGCGGAGGAGTAAAAAAACCGAATTTCCGTAGAAATGGGGTATGCGAGGGATAGGAGAACTTTTCCAGAGGAAGAATATCCAAAAACAATACAAAAATAACTAATGTTTTTTAAAATATTTACGTTTAAAAATTCAAAAATTTGCACTAAGAACACATGGGCACAATTCCGATTTTTTTGGCGCCGCGACCTGAAGGTACCGTTGGAAAGAGGAAGTCCTCCTGATAAAAAATATAATGTATAGGTACCGCAAACACACTTTATTCCCATTTTTCACTTCAAATTAATTAAATTACACTATAAACTTGTAAATAACTGCATATCTTACACTTTTAGCATGTTTTTTTACCTAAAATATCTGCATTTGAAAAATTACATTTTATACTTGTTTTAACCCCATTTGTTTACCAAAATTTACGACGAAATGGAGCGCTGCCCTGTGATTATAGGGCAATTCGCTGAAATTCCTCTTTTTCGCAAAAATTCCTCCATTCATGCATAGGGATATTTTCTTTTTTAAATTTGTTAAACAAATAAGTAATATTATATACAGGTATATATATATATATTAGTAATATTATATGATAATATTGTATATACATATGTATAAGTAATGTTATATAATAATATTACGTAATAAAGTGTAAAGTATATTAGTACAGTACGAAAGGCCAAATTTTCGTTCAATATGAGTGCATGAACCAACAAATATAACACTTTATATCCAAAACTCATATTTTAAATTTAAAAATTTATGTATCGCCACCTAAAATACAAAACAATGTATAATCAAACATAAATGGAAATCGCTGGCAGATATAATAACTAAATTTTATCCATTTTATAACGAAAACTCAAATTTTATTTGAATATGAGTGCATGTAACCAACAAATATAACCACTTTATAACAAAAACTAAATATATTTATTTATTTTTAACGCAGAAAGGAGTACTCCGCAAAAGTACTTCAGTCCACCCGGGTATTCGCTCGGCCAGGGTTATTTTTTTAAAGTACCCGACATCATATTATATAAATTTTATAATACGATCTTATCATAGAGTTTTAATTATATGTGTTTATTAAATATAAATCACATATTATACATATATGCACATACTATATATCAAATGTATATGTGGAAAAAGTTTTCACAACTCAATTATAACTTAAAAAATTTTTGAAAGTATTTTTTATTATAATCAATGTAGAAAAAAGGATCCCGCAAAATAACAAACAAAGAAAAATCGTTAAGAATCCTACATATTTGGTGTTTAAGAAGTGGCAACGCTCGTTTTCGTAATAATTGTAAACAATCCAACCTTTGCAACGCCGAGTTCGCTAAGTGATTTTTAAATTAATAAATTTAGGTGAAATATTACAAAATAAAATTGAGAAGTGTTCCCTCCATAATTGAAGTATAGTCTGGGCATCGGTGACTAGATCACCTTTGGGCGTTCTACAAGAGTATGCTCCGGTCTTGAAATCTTCTGTAAGCCGCCGCATTTTTTTTGTATTCGATTTTCGAGCATTACCCCTGTCGGCCAGCTTATCAAGCTCTTCGTACTCACGCATTTCAGCCTCTTTCTTTTTCTGTCTGAAAATGCGTCTCGCTTCCCTCTTTAACTCTCAGTATCTATCCCATCCTGCACGTGTTGTGGTCAATCGTAACGTTGCGAGGTAGGCAGCCTGTTTTCTCTCCGCTGCATCACGCCACGCCAATGGTTTCGGTTGCAGCTGTACGTAGGGAGTTTGAAATGCCGTCCCTTATACCGAGTTGTTGACGAGTGCTCTCAGAGAGCAGGAGTGCAAGCAAAGTAGAAAGTCGTTCGGCTGTCTGTTGTGATTGCAGCTTCTCAACGTCGAACCTTCCTTGTGTTGGTTGGTCAAGATAGTGGTCCGAGTCGATATTAGCACCTCGGAGCACACGCACATCTAAAACACTGGAGATGTGTTTTCCGTCTATCACAACATGATCGATCTGCTTGGTGAGTTTTTGTTCAGGAGACAGCCAGGTAGCTTGATGTATCTTCTTATGATGGAATCTAGTACTACAGATAACCATATTTGGGGCCTAATGTTAGTTAAACATTGAGAAATACCCTGTGCAATTTATACAATTTTAAAGCGAATATTTAAAAAAAATATATACGTGTTAGCAACTTTATATTTACATATTTCTCCTCTGGAGAAGCACGATTCTGATTATTTTGGCGGAGGAGTAAAAACACGAATTTCCATAGGAATGTGGTATGTGCGCTAAGGATGCTTCTCTGGATTAGGTATATGGTAAAAATAACGTATTTTTAAAATAATTCAGAAATTGCTCTAAAAGCACATGATATTTCTCTTTGTTTTACTATATATATTCTCCAAACATTGAAATAAGTTCACATTTCTTTTTTATTTTATTAAATGTTACCTAAATTTGCTACTTTAAAAATGACTTCGCACAATCATCGTTGAGAAGGTTAGATTGTTTACAATTATGAGGAAAACGAGCGTTGCCACTTCTTAAACAGCAAATATGTAGGATTTCTAACGAATTTTCTTTGTTTGTTTTTTTGTGCGAATTTTTTTCTATATTAACTCCAATAAAAAATACTTTCCAACATTTTTCAATTTATAATTGAGTTGTAAACACTTTTTCCATATACATATATGTATGTATAATATGTGATTTATATCTAATAAACACAAATAAGTAAAACTCCATGATAATATTATAAATTTATATCATATCGGGTTGACCGAAGTACTTTCGCGTAGTACTCGGTTTTGAATTGGCGCCTTTCGACCGGGCTCTAAAAAATAGCGAATACCCACGGTGAACGAATTACTTTCGCCACAGAACGTATATTTAAGGAGAAGGTTCACGATGTCGAAAATTTAGGGATATTTACTGTTTTGGATGAGCGTGTTTCACCACACCACAGAAAAATTATTAGCGTRTTTCACCACATTTAACATCAGGGGACACGAAAATAGCAGAATTGAGCCTTTTCAGTGTTAAATGAGAAAAGTTATGCTATTTGCAATGTTAAGTACAGATTCGCATATTTACAATGCGCAAACGACTCTGCGTATAGCATGTATACATATGTACGTAAAAATTAAACTATTTCATGATGAATGAAATCTTTGGAAATATATAATAACATCATATTTGTAGTATTACCTAATTATTTAATTAATTAGGCTTGATAAGATATATACATATGAACATATTTATATACACACCTACATAATTATTTGCAGGCCTTTMAATGTTTTGATAATATGTTCGCACATATTCACGTATGTAATTATGTGTGCATGTAAACAAAACGAACCATACGCATAATGTTTGTACATTTGTCCACACACAACTTTGTATGTAAATATGTATATATGCATATTATTTCAGGCGAAATTTCCGTTGACACGGACAACCAATGGCGAAGCCCATGTTTTGTCAAAGATTCAATGTGTCGAAAGAGTGACGCGACGACAAAGCGTCACAACATTGTGTCGGAATTGCTACCCGAGCTGAGCCGAAAACACAAACGAACGATCGCCAATTGAAACTGCTTCCCTTTCCGCTGTAACAACTTCTCCAGAAAGCAGCGCAAATATATGTATGTTTCTGTATGAGCTTGTATACATATCAACGCAGATTTTTGGAAGCCGCGTAAAAATATTCTTTACATTCCTTGACAAGTACAGTCACCCGGTTATGTGCCACAATCAAAGATACAGATTTTTGTGGTTTGTTAAGAATAAAAATATTATATGGCACATAAGCGAGTGCGGACACTTAAGCGAGTGATACTTAAAACAATAATTTCTATGTATTTCAAAAAACGTGAGAAGCTGCATGATATAGGCTGTTAAGAGGGATGGTTTTCATGTAAGCGGAGTACAACTTAACCAGTATTTACTGAACACATAAATCAGAGGAATATTGAATATTTTCTTTGATACATCTCTTGACTTGAAAATCGACAAATAAACTATGTTGTCAATTTTATTCTAATATATTTGAATACTTATATTTGCGGTTTTGTCACTTTTTCCTTCTCATGCAAATATCAGAAATTGTTCAATTTATGATTTTTAGCTTTTGCCATCGTCGCGAAAATACGGTTGTAGGCAAAGGCTTGTTCGGGGAGATGTGATGGTGTTTGCTTTTATGAATGAAGCGACTTTGCCTGTTGAAAGCGCGCTAATGTTCATGAATGAAAATGTTGTTGTTGTGTGTTTTTCTACAAATTTGGCCATCAACTATTTGGCTGTCATATCGACAAATTTAATTGAAGAAATGTAATTTTCATACAATATTATTGTAATATATTAATTTTTTA